CAGCAGCTGCTGGCCCAGGGAGGGTTTGCAGCTCCCGCTGTGTCTGTTCCCCTCCTCCTTGCTGCCGCAGACTGATGGCACACCAGAGTGACGTGTCACCTCTTCTTTCCTGTTCCCTGCTGGGGGGCTCTGGGTTGGATGTGCTCCACCATGCACACGGGAGGCTGGTGAACAGGATGTGTCCCTGCTGCTTGGTGTGTCTCAGGGCGGGGGAGGGGGGAATTTAGGAGACTTGTGGGGCTGGGGGTGTTCAAGAGGCACGTGGCTCTCCCAAAGAGCAGTTTTGGGGTGACGTAGGTGCCCTGGGCAACCTTCTCGTGGCTTCTTGCAGTCAGTGGGGTGCAGCATCGAGGCCAGAGCTGTTGGGTTGTTGCAAGGGACTCTGGAGGAGGTGAGTCCATGGGGCTGGAGATGAATGGGCAGTCTGCAGCTGCCAGAGTGAGACATGAAAGGGTTTTCAAGCCCCATCATTTCCCTGTCTCCACGCCTTCAGCCGAAGAAGACAGTCTCAGTGCAGGGAGCAGCAGGGAGCTGGGAGAGCCCTGCTTAATGTGCCCCACACTTCCCTTTTATCCCCAGCATCATTTCCCCTAACGTCCCATGCAGCTCAATGGACTGTAAATCCCCAAAGCCGGGGCTTACCACCAGGAGGAAAATGATGCCACACCATGTCCCTGTCCCTAGCCAGGACTTTGTCACCTTCTGTGTCACCCTCCCTGCACCACCAATGCTTCCCTGCTGTGGCAGAGAGGGGAGCAGGGCAACTTGCAGGTGACAGGTGATGCCTGAGATGTTGTCAGTGTCCCAGCCATGAGCTGGATGTCCCCAGAGACCACCTGAAGGTGATAGCTAAGGCAGTGGAGGGGTCCCCAGGTGCGGCAGGGTCCCAGCTCAGCAGTCCAACACCTCTCTCCTTCCACCTTCTGATCTCCTTCCATGCCCATCAGCCCAGTGCCAGCACTGGGGCTTTTTGTTCATTTTGGTTATAGCCATCTCATGGTCTTACGCAGCCGCTGGTGCAAAGAGAGACTGACAAAGGGCTCCTCACTGTGCAGTTTGCTGCTCAAGGGGAAAAGTCACAGGGCTCCCCAACAGTTGCAGCAGTGCTGGTACCACAGGGGCTTATTCAAAGATGTTACTGGCATCTCCACCTGGGCTCATGGATGGGCTCAGGAAGGATTCCCAGGCTGGCCATCTTTCCTCTGCAGCATCTGTTCTCCCAACAAATCCAGCTTCACTGGGAGGTTGTCACAGATGCAGCTGGAAAACATGCAGGGGGAAGGGCCTGGCAAAGATGGGGGTGGGGGAGAAGTTGTGCGTTTTTTCCCCCTCCTCTGTTTGCTGTCAGGGCCATGCAGAGCAGGGCTCGGGGCTGGCACAGAGGGGTCTCTGCAGGGCAGAGTCAGAGGTGGAAGGGAGGGTCAGCACCCCGTGAGCGAAGCCTGGGATGGGGGAAGAAACGAGGTTTCAGTTGTTGCACTCTTCTGGCACTAAGTTCCTGCAACACCCCATGTCTCAGTTTCCCTCTTTCCTCTGGGGGGTTGACAGCACTCCCCTCCCTCCCGAAAGCTGCATTTCTTTTCAGCCCCAGCTTGAGCTGGACACCGCTAAGGGTTTTTATGTCTCTGTGGGCATTGCTGAATGAACCCCCCAAAGTTGGGGGGTGATTTTCACCCCCCAGCCTTGCCAGAGACCTGCCTGATGCTGGTTGTTGGCTCGTCCTTCCTCCATTTTCAGCAGGAGTAGTAAAGGTGTCCCCACTTCTGGCCGGGTTCTCTGTGCCCAGACATTCCCCCCTCTCCTCCTGGGCTCCACCTCTGCCTCAGGTAATTGCAGGAGGCAGGAAGACACTGGGTTTTCCAGGGAATGGTTTTGAGAGCCCTCAGGAGTGCTGGAGCCATGCGCAGTACACGGGGTCGTGCCGTGCAGGGACCAGCTCTTCTCCAGCAAGCCCTCACCAGGCTCGAGGGGAGGGCCTCGAGAAGAAGAAACCAGAGATCCCCAAGCCCCCACTCCATGTCATATACAAATCCTTCCTGAACTTAGTTCCCCACGTGCCAAGAGAAACGGCGCTCCCGGCACCAGCACTGCAAATAAAAGAGGAAAGACTAGAAAGACCCAGTGCTGCCCTTGCTCCTCACCCTGTGGGACTCTGCTGCACTCTCCCAGCAAAAGCTGGAATCCATGGCCCGGGGTATGGAGGGGGAAAGCCCAGGTATCGGTTGGAGCCCAGCCAGGGACATTCACTGCCTTTGGGATTGTTTTGGAGAGCTGCTTCGCTTTCTAAAGATGAAAGGCATGCTAGAGCAGCCGGTGTGGGGTGGGGTGCACATCACTTCAAGGTTGGGATGGTGTCGGGTCCCCGACCCCATCTCTAGGGTTTCCCCCAAGCCCAGGCTGCCCTCAGCAGCTGCAAGCATGGGGAAAATGAGGACAGGCAGGATGAGAGCATGCCTGGGCTCCCAGACATGGGGTTGAGGCTTTGCTTGGGACAAGCAGGGTGAGCTATGGGCATCATTTCAGGTGCCAGCATCCTCTGGTTGCTGGCAGCGTGCTGGGGTAGGCACCGCAGCTGAGGGTGCTTCTGCCAGCCTCTGCAAACATCCCTGCCTGCTGCTGAGCCCCCTCTGCCCCTGCCTGGACTTCCCCAGGCAGGGCTGGCAGAGGATCTGGCAAGTGCCAGCGGAGGCAAGCAAAGGGGAGAGAGCGGCGTGCCCCAACCTGCTTTAGCTATGAGATCACCCCACACTCCCAGCTTTTAAAGAGCGATACAAAGCTGTACATGACCCCGGGCCCCTCTTGATGGGTAAGAGTGAGTGCAAGAGGCTGGGGACGAGAGCAGGCTGCATCCCCAGGGCTGCAGTTGCATGCACCCTGCTTCCCAAAAATGTGCCAGGTTCCTTCAGAAAAATTCCCATGTTGTTTTGCATGAGTCCAGAGGTCAAATCTGCACCCCACTCAACCCCATGTGCTGCAGGCTTCCCTGGGGGCAGCTGAAGGAAACCCTTCCCACAGGCTTTCTGCTCAAGCATCCCTGAGGCATCAGTGGCGTGTGCTCAAGTGCGGGGCAAAGCAGGGAGTTCGCACGTGTCCACGCAGGGCTCTGGCCAGTGATTTACACTCCTTGGCAATGGGGACTCAGTGCAGGGATGAGCAGTAACCGGAGCTGCGCTGCACCTGCACTGGGCCTCCTGCTTTCACTCTGATTTAATGTCCCAGTTGAGAGGTGATGTCATTTCGGAGGGAGCCAGAGAAAAGGAAGTGCTGGAGAAGATAAGGTGCTTTAACTCTACCCTTCCCGGCTTGGCCAGGTTTTGAAGCTGGGAGCTGTGTTAGCTACCAGCGAGGGAAACGTAAGAGAGGGGAAGAAAGAGGTTGGTTGGAGGACACCTTCCTCTTGGGGTAGTAGGAGCTGACATCAGGAGCTGCTGTGATGGAAGACCTTGGATGTTCCCAGGTGGTGTGAGCATGATTTTGTGTGCTGCTCTGGCTTCTCCATCACTTTCACCTCCCAGACATGTGGGGTGGGTTGTCTGCAGCACCAGTCATACTCCACCAGAGCCTGGGTGCCACAGCAGCAGGCAGGGAGGGTCAGCAGAAATGCTGGCAAGGTGCTGGAGAAGGTAAATTGACAATGATGTGCCAAGGCTGCCCTGCTTTCGAAGGGGAGAGAGACTGAATGGACAGGTCGTTACTAAAGGCTCATTAAAAGGTCTTGTTTAGCTGTGGAGATGGACCAGGGGTTCCCATGGTGCTGAGTCCAGAGACTTGGACTTTCAGAAGGATCTCGTGGGGGCATCGTGGTCCCTCTGACAGTCAAAGGCAGTCAAGCCCCAAAGTCTTCTCTGCCTTTTGGGTGATGTCAAGCTGCATCTGCTCATTCGCATGACTGGGAGAACCTCAAGAGAGAATGGTTGGGCTGATACAATCCAAGGTCCTCTCCGTTGCACCAAGTTGCCGCCCAGATGTCCTCAGCTGGAGGAGAGCGAGGGTGGGCCACCACTAGCCAGACCCAGCTCTGCCCCGGAGAATGGGATCAGTGGGCGAGAGCAAATCAGGATCCCAGTGGCCTTACACAACCGTGCAGGATGTGCAACAGCACTGGGGGTTTTCCAGCTCCCCAAGCTGCCCACCATGCAGGCAGAACAATGCTTGCTGCCCTGCTCAAGTCAGTGCTCTTGCTGCTTGAGCTGGGGACTGGCTTTCAGGCAGGCTCATTCACATTTAGACCATGCTTTTGACCATGCCAGACACTGTGGCGGTAGCTCTGGCTGTCAGATGCCACCTACCACAGCGCCAGCTGGGGGTTTTCTCTCAATATCGGGCTTTGAGATGCTCAAGCTGGGTATGACTGCCCAGCAGCTTTGTGCAGTAAATTGGGGACTGCTTGCTGTCACATTCAGTAAAGTCGGAGTGTGAAAAATTGCAATGGCCTGCAGGTACCAATGTGCTGGTCTGGTCCAATGTGGTGGAAATCATGGGCTCGGCGGGGCTGGGCAGAGGGGGCATCTCTCAGAAACCGCAATGTGTAAGTGTAGCTGTTGTGGCAAGGTTTGGGCTGACCTCCCCAATGTGGGGAGCTTTGCACCTCGGTGGGTTTGCTTGTTGTCATCCTTCTCTGGTGGGTTTTGCTATCAGAAAGTGACCCTGGTTGTCCTCCGAGGCAGCCAAGAAAAGGACTTTCTCTTCTTGTCGTTTGTCTGAATGAAGTTGTCTGAATGAAGAGCAGGAGAGGCTGCAGGATGCCTCACGTGTACATTAATATCCAGCTGCAGCAGGAAAAATCAGAGCTGGGTCTCCATTCCTTTCTCCGTGTGGGTGGCACAGTCATCGCAATGTGTCTGCACTGGTTAGCGATGGCTGGTAGCTTTTTGCTCCTCAAGGCTCTGTTCTCAGTGTAGGGTTATCACTGCCTTGTCCCCAGCCTGGGCCTTGGTGTGCCAGGTATTGATGATCTTGGCCTTGCTGCGCCAAGCTCAGTGTCCCCATTTTCTCTGCAGGAGGCTTTGCCACCTTCTCGTCTTGCTTTCCGGGGCTCTGCGAGGGGAAGCCAGCTGCCATCCTGCCGATGAGCATCTCCCAGCCATGCTTGCCCGTGGCCAACGTCGGCCCCACACGCATCCTGCCGCATCTCTACCTGGGCTCCCAGAAAGACGTCCTAAACAAGGTACAGCCCTGCCAAGGGAACATGTCCACCCTGTCCCATCTGGGACCCCAGCCATGCAGAGGGGTGAGGGCATTAAGGACTCTTCTCCTGCCCAGTGGGAGGACCACGGGTGGTCAGTCTGACCCTCCCAGGAGGCTGAAGGCAGGGAGTGCATAGGCAGAGCCTGGCAGAACTGGGGAGGGTGGTTGCAGGGTGAGTCATCTTATATTGTTGAGCTTTAGGGTGGTCAAACTCTTCCCAAGTGCCTGTAGCAAACTCAGGGACAGGAAAAACATGGCCAGGAAAACACCTGGGCTCGACGGGGGAGTTACCACAGCTGGAGGGAGATGTGGAACAGGAGCCAGCTTTGCACCCACCTGCCTAGCCAGCCAGGCTGCCAGATAACACCAATTTCAGCAACCCCGTGATCCCCTTGGGAACCAGAGAGAGTGGGAGCAAGCTGGGGTATTCAGCCGTGGCAACACAAGGACGGGCAGCTCTGGCCAGGGGCAGGGGCTTGTTCGGGAGGCCCAAAAATGAGCAAAGGTTTGCTATGGGGAGAGAGGAGAAAAGAGGGACAGTGCCCTTTTAAAGGTTCTGGAAGGGCTGTGCTGTGATGTCATGCCAGGGAAGGAATTTTGTTTAAAGGAAAAATAACGGCGAGAAGAAAGAAAGAGGAATTGCAGTTAAAATGCCGCTGGGCGCCTGCCTACCGCGGGCAGGAGGGAGCCAGCCAGGCGTCCTTGGCCAGGGCAGGCGAGGGGGGAGAGGGACCACGACACCGGAGGGGGGTTGGAGACAGAAAGGAAGGAGAGAGAAATTATATACAGGGAGTAGAAGGAAATGAAAGAGAAAAATGCCAAGAATGTGAGCCCGGGAGCTGGGCTGGCTCCGCCGAGCGGAGGCTGGGCTCTGCAGAGCCTGCTGGGGTGGGCAGGAGCCGGCCACTGGAAAGCCAGGGCCGAAATCCTGGTGCGGTCTCCTGAGGAGCCAATGTCAGGCAGGGAAATTGATGGTTTCCTTCCCTTCCCGCCTCCTCAGAGGGTTTTGTTCATCTTTTGGAGCTGTGTTTTCTGCCATCCCCACGATGTGGCCAGAAGATGCTCTATTCATAGGCAGCACAGCAGGGTCAAGTCTGGAGGCCATGCATGGGCAATACTTCTCCAGCACATTGCAAAGGAGAAATCCCACATGGCAGCTCCACGCACTCTGACGTGTGGGAGGACTCTTTTATCTCCGTGTTTTCTTCTCCCATTTAATTTTGGGTCTTCCCTGGAATAGTGCAAACCAGGCACTGAGACCCAGCAGCTGGCACAGATGTTCCCCCATTTTTTATAAGCAACCTACCCCCAGTTGTACAGGTGAGACCTAACCTGATGGGATGGGGAAAGAGACAGGGGTCAGATGAACCATAAATTTGGTGTCAGCACCACATATAGGTGAAGCTGGCCATAACCCTGGGAGGGAAGGAATGGAAGTTGGTGTGGATGCAGCAGTATGTACCCAGCAAGCCAGCTCCCTGATGGATGGGCTGTGGGTCGAACCTCACCCCCTCATTGCAGTTTTTCATCTGATTCTATTTACCTAAGGTCTCCCTTGTGCCATTGCATTTTATTGACTCAAAAATATGGGCAGTGATGGTGGCCCTTGAGTGGCCAAAGCAGAAAAGTCACAGAAAACAAGTTCAGGTTCACTCCAGTGTCAGAAAGAGGGAAGAGTTGGTTCCCCTCGCCACCTGCCTATGTCCCAACACAAGAGCGTATGTTTACAGTGAAGAACTGTGAACAACTAACAAATCTGTGAGAACTTCCAATGCGTTTCTGAGGGGGGTGGGAACAAAAACATGGGTTGACATTGGTTAACGCAGTGTGCTACCAATGACTTGCCCCACTCTGCTGGTGAGATGCTTCCTCTGTCTCTGAGCTGATACTTCCAGAATTTTCAGCCAGAGTTTTCACTGATTTTCTTTCTTGCATTTTTGTATTCCTCTCGTACTGGGGTTCTTGGGTTTTCCCCTCTGGGACCCTCTTCCAGGTGTCTTTGGTCTTGCTTACTTTTACTTGGACCTCTTCTGAGGTTCAAACCTGTGTAATCTAAATTGACACAACCTTCTCAGCTGGTCTCTGCTGTACTACCATCAGCTAGGCCAAGGCAGCAGTGGGAGACCCACAGGAGAAAATATTGGGATGGGAAAAGGCAGGGAGTACATGGCAAGGCAGATCTTCAGCACTCGGTGCTGGCTGAACTCAGCTGATCATTCAATTGCTTCTTTCCTGCCAGGATTTGATGACACAGAACGGGATAAGCTATGTCCTCAACGCCAGCAACTCCTGTCCCAAGCCAGATTTCATCTGTGATAGTCACTTCATGCGCATTCCTGTCAATGACAACTACTGTGAGAAGCTGCTTCCCTGGCTGGATAAGTCCATTGAATTCATTGGTGAGCTTTTGTTACAATGGTTGCAAGACCCTCCAGTTCTCAGCCTTCAAAACCTGAACTCTTCTTCTGTCCTCCATGGTCTTACTCGCAGCAACCCTTGTTCTTTCACACAAAGGGGTTGAGGGTTGAGGAGGGAGGATAGAGTAATTTTGCCTACTATCTCTGACCGTATCGATGCTTTTCTCTCTGTTTCCTCTACCATGCTCCAGACAAGGCCAAGGTGTCCAGCTGCCAGGTGATTGTGCACTGCTTGGCCGGGATCTCCCGGTCAGCCACCATTGCCATCGCCTACATCATGAAGACCATGGGTATGTCATCAGATGATGCTTACAGGTGAGTTTTCCCTGGAGGGCAGGGGAGGCTTACACTGGTATGCTTCACTATAGGGAAGGAAAACAGGCTGAGCCCAGAAGGATAGGGTGGGAGCTCTTTGAAGCTCTGTCTTGCCTTGGCTGAGTCCTGGTGAAACCAAACCTCCCTTCATAAAGTGCATGCAATGAGGAATGGCTGGGAGTGGTAAAATGGAGGGGGGAGGCAGGAGGCAGTCCCAGCTCTACCCCTGGGGCATCCCGAGGCCCCATGGTTCCCCAAGACGCCTTTCTTCAGAGGGTCTGGTCAGAAGGTCCTGGACAATGCTTCTTCTCCCCAAAGAGGCTGAGAGAGTAGGGGTGACCCGCTGAAGGACCAAGCACCAACCAGGGCTGTCTGTGCCTCTCGGCAGGTTCGTTAAGGACCGTCGCCCATCCATCTCGCCCAACTTCAACTTCCTGGGGCAGCTCCTGGAGTACGAGAGGAGCCTGAAGCTCCTCAAGGCCCTGAAGTCAAAGGGCGACCGGGGCGAGGGGGACACCCAGCAGGACGCAGCAGAGGCGGCTGAGGGCAGCCGGCACCCCCCACCACCTACCTCAGAGAAGGCCGAGGAGGTGCCGAGAAGCACCAGCTCGGTGTCCCCCCACGGCGACCCTGAGCGGCCAGGCGGGACCCCAAAGGTCCTGTCGCCCACCACCCTGCAGCAGGGGCTCAACGGCTTGCACCTCTCCTCCGAGCGCATCCAAGATACCAACCGCCTGAAACGCTCCTTCTCCCTGGACATCAAGTCTGCCTACTCCCCTGGCCTGCGGCAGGACCCCCCTGGGCCTCCCGGCCCAGGGGACGCCCCCAAACTCTGCAAGCTAGACAGCCCCTCAGGCCCTGGTGGCCTCGGCCCCTTCTCCCCAGGGGCGGACAGCCCTGACCGGCCGAGCGGGCCCGACCTCCTGCTGGAGGCCAAGGTGAGGCAGCGGCGGAAGCACCGGCACCCAGCGGGCTCGCCAGCCCACGGGCTCAGCCTCAATGTTGGCGGGGCCTGCGCCGCACGCAAGAGCCCCGGCACCGAGGATGGGTTGCCGCCACGGCTCCGCCCGGCCGCCGCCGGTCCCCGGGCGCCCCCCCCCCC